ATGTGAGGAACAAACTCTCAGTGAATCTTTAGTAACAGGTGGATTCGTACAGAGAGTCTGAGATCATAATAAAATCAAACTGTTAAAATATCAAAGACCTCAGTAGTGCACTAAAGAAAACATCTGTAGTGATTTTCACATCTTCTGTAAATGTATGATCAGAAGTTGATCTGGGATGAGAGTTTCTTCTCCTGAACTCATGTAGCAGCACACGTGTGGGATCTTCTTCACATTCAGACTCACAACAGAAATGTGAGGAACAAACTCTCAGTGAATCTTTAGTAATGGATGCATTTTTACAGAGAGTCTGAGATGAGCTCATATATGATGCTGTTAGTTAGGGCTGGCTCGATACCACTTTTTCAGAACCGATCCCGATCCGATACCAGAAATTCTGAGTATCGGCCGATACCGATCCGATACGGTGCAGTTTTTGTTTTTTAAATCAGTGTAGAATAACTGTACCTCAATGTGTTGACCTGATCATCACTCCTTTGTGTGTTAAACACAATCTACCACATATAGACAACTTCATTATAAAGAAAAACAACAAATTAATAAATATATAATCATAATCTAAGATAAAAATACTACTATAAACTAGGTTAATGGATAATTCAGTAGCAAAAGTTACTCTAGAAAAATCATGAGTGAACAATAATTTTATAAAATCTAAATATTTAGTGAAAAAATAAAAATTATTCAGTGGGGAATAGGGTTGGGCGATGTCTACAAAATTACATCGGACAGTGTAAATCTGTATTCAGAAAGGCACGGAAAACAAACAACGATTGCTAACGGTTGCCTGTTAAATTCCAGTAGCTACATAACATTTCACTTTCTGTTTATTTCACCACATAAACAGAGTAAGGAGAGATGACTGAGGACGATGACGAAAAATTAGCAAAATGTGTGGTAAGTACTGCCGCTGACAGAGTATGTGCGATCTCGAAAGTGAAAGTGAAACTAAAAAGAGATGCATTCAAAAGCAGTTTCAGTGCCAGGCATAATAGTGGCTTACTCTCTCTAACTGCGAGAGAAAATACTGAAATATATATTTTCCTCCCATCTCATATTTATTCTCTTTAGGGGTTCCGTAGTACTACGTCATTTTCTTTCCAAACACGGTATTGGGATGCGGTGGATTGTGGAGGTGGAATCACGATACTGGCTCAACATCTATCAGTCATCAGCGATGGACGATGGCATCGTCTATTGGCCCAACCCTCGTGGGGAACAAATAAAAGTGAATAAGTGTAGGGCTAAATCTGGTCAAATGTTAAACATTGCTGTTTGTATTGTTGTAAAATACATTCATGATAAACAAGTAGCCTAATATATTTATATATTAATTAAACTATAAAATTAAAAGACGACATTTCTTTTAAATGTATAGCACAGTAATGAGGCAGCAACATATGATAGATAAGACAACAAGAAAGGCTATTAATAATCTTTCATTGAGCAAAAGTATTATAACATGATGGAAGGCTCCTATACGGAGCGGCACAAAGCTCTTATGCGCATCCCATGCGCAGAATGATGCGGTTGAAGCAACACGGAGTCACAGTGTGCAGCGCTCCGCATAGAAAAGTTCAAAGCACAAGGGAAGAGATACTGATGCGTAGTGTAATATATCTGTGATCTGATCTCTAACAGACACCCGGTGGAAAGTAACGTGATTTAGAAACAGCACTAAACTCCAGCAAGATAAAGTCCTTTTATGCAAAACCATTGATCTTTATCTACAGATCAAGTATAATAATAGGAACAGTGAATCATCTTGGAGAGAGTTTTATCGTCTTGGCTGTCGTAACCGAACGCGACGCACAGTTTGAACGCTGAATGGAGGATGATTGATAGACGAAGAGTTCACGTGAACTTGAATTTAACGACTTAACTATTCATCTGTACCTCACAATAAACTATAGAACGGCTTCAGAACACTTGAAATATAGTGCACGGAAACTTTATGGTGCCTTTCGGCGCACCCCTATTAGTTACTTATATCTCAGGGCTGTCAAACTGATTTTAGGTCAGATGTCCCGTATTACCTTTTACACTGTCAAATTAACTGTATGAACTCTAGTTTTGTTTTTTCTTTCTTTGTTGATGTTTAGTCAAGTGTTAATTGATTGTAAGTCTGGTCATTTTAGTTTATTTTGGTCATCGAAGAGTTATAAAATAGTTCAACACAATGGTTAAGCTGATAATCACAATAATTTGTTCTCAAAATTGTAATCCTGATTATTGATCATGAATGTTGTCATTTGAGATTTCTTTTTACATCAGAATTATTTTCACCTAAAAGCACAAATCGAGAATTTCAACGCATGCAGGATTTATTTCACTCATTTACTCATCTAGTTTCCTGATCTATTAAATTATCATATAAAACAATACCCTCTCTCACTGTGATTATAAAGAGCGCTCTGTGTTCACTTTGATTATATATCTTTCTTATATATATCTCATATATTATATATATGACATTTTTGCAAACCCTAAGCAGTAGCCTATACTTGTCTGTGTTTCACACCGTATCAGATCTGCAGTGGGGCCCCCTGGTGGTTCAAGTGCCGTATGCAACTTGCGTACTTTGCATATAGGTAGGACCGGCACTGCTGAATTGTCTTTCATTTTAGGTTGAATTTGGCAAATGCTGTGGCCAGTAAGTGTTTATTCTCTGTGCAGTCAGTCTTCCAGGCTAAGGTGATGCAGACAGTGGTCAGTGTGACTAGTGAGCACTCTAGCTGCTGAATTTTGAACCAGCTAGAGCTTATTTGTTAACCCTGCAACATTTATAAGGAGAAAGAAGGCTATGATTATCATCAACAATTTGTGAATGCAACAAAACAAAAGTGAAACCAACCACCAGGTCCGTAATTGTGGAAAACAATGTAATGGTACAGCCCTCCATCAAGATCTAGATGGGTAGAGGTCCTAAAGAAAGCAAAGAATTCACAATATTGACAAGAGGTTCTGAGATTACAGGTTACACCTCTTTCAG